CGATGGTGAATCACCCATTTCCAACTCTTTTGACTGACCAAATCGTGCTCAAACTGATAGTGGAACACTTCTTCTACACGTATGCATCGGTTGGAACCACCAAAACGCATTGGAAGACGCGTTTCATTAAGGGCAAAGTTGGAAGAAAACCTGTTTTTCTGCAGGCTTCCCAGGCGCCTGGCGCCTCCCATGTAAGTTTTTCTGTCTTTTTGCTTCATTTGATTAATTTGCACTCCCAAATGGTCCTAAAATGTCATAAATACAATATAAGCCAACCACAAACCATAATATATGAATTTTGCATGAATTGGAACTCAAACGATCGAGAAAAATCCGAAACAAAGCTGAAACATTGTAAAAACAGCATCTAAAACCTTCTTTTTACGCATGTAAACAAGCGTAATCAACTATCAATTCTTTTAAGCTTTTCTTGACCATGCTTCATCCACTCTTCTCTCGGTTCAGCACTCTTTTCATACTTTGCCTTCCTTTTCCAAACCTGTGCATTTACACCAGAAATAAGAGCATTTAATGCAATATTTAGCTACAACATTCAAGACGTGGGGCTTTTAGCTATGATTCCATTTTCTACTCTTTTCTATGCTAATTGCGCACCAAAACCAACACACTTTGACAATTCCGTATATAAAACTACCCAAATAAACACTAGAATAACTCTTTTTTGGATAGTTATCACACCCCCAAACTTAAAATCTTTCTTGTCCTCAAGCAAGAGCATTCATTTTACCTCTGTTCACAAAAGAAAGAATGTTAAAAACCTACACTTCTAGCATCCAGCCTTATGCCGCACCCTTTCATTTTGATCAAAAAATGCTAGAACTTACATACTCTGATAAGTACTTCAGCTAGAGCAAAGAAATGAAAGAAACCTAAGTTTGTTCACACTCTGGAAGACGCTATTTTCTGCCCAACTCTATCTTCCTTCTACTTCCCAACCTCAAGCTTAACTTCTCCTTGGGATTCCTTTCTCAAGCCCCTTTCACTAGCCTAAACCTTTAAACCTTGTACTACCCACTTGGGCTTCTTAACCATGGGCTACTAGCCCTTCCTAATCCTGCAGCCTCTTGATGCTCTAGATGTGGGCTACTAGCCCCTCCTTTATTGTGGATTTTTTTTTTCCAAAGACTGCATTACAGGATTATAAAGATTCATGGTTATATACAATTGCTAATAATGATATAAGAACTGAAGGTTCACTCCCCCAAACTTAAAAGGTTGCATTGTCCTCAATGTGGCTAAGGACATCTAGAATTTAAAGCGCCAGCACACCCTCAAACTTAAAGTGAAAGTAATATAAGAAGTATAAGGATGTTCACTGTCAAGATATAGACATGAGAGTAGAGGGCTAATGCTACAACTAAAGGGATCTACTAGAAAAGGTCAATGCTAGCTATACAAAGATAAGGGTTGGTGTTGGATAGATAGTCATGGAAATTCCTCTAGAGGGTAAGCGCTCCATAAGGCCAGTACTACTAGAGGGATGCTAGGGTATGGGCAGGCAAACATGAAACAGAAAGAGAACAAAAGAAAGCTAACTCTCATTAAAATGCTCCAGCATCAACAGGAAAAACTACGCACTAGCAGGCTTTAGCATCAAGACTATACATACAGGGCAGGGCAAAGGGCAGATGTTGAGAACACACGATTGCAAACAACTTTATTTTTCATTAATTTCAAAAGGGGGGTCCTCATAATGATGAAACGACAATGAAACTACCTTATGTAAAGGCGGAAATTAAATGCATAAATTTTAAAATGCATAAATTTAAAGCTGTTCTAAACTAGACTACGGAAGATAAAAAGTAACAACAACTGGGAGGGTCATTTTTCAAAGCAAAAAGGAAAGAAACTTCTCTCTCGCGGGTCAAGCATGTCAATGTTTTTTGGCTTCTTCTCATCCAACGAGTCGCTTGTGGGCTGATCTTCCTCACTGGATCTATTGTCTTCTTCCCTCTCTTTGTGGCTGGGGCATGTTCCTGTGAAATAGCTGCAACATACTTCTTCCCCCTAGTTGGGGAAATGAAAATTCTCTGTTTTACCTTTTTGTTTTTATTGGAAGTGGTGACTGGAGTTGCTCCCGCTTGCTCAATTCGTACCTTGGCTGATGTCTTGGAAGGTTTTGCCTTTTTCTCTTTGTTGCATGATGCTTCTAGCTCTCTTTTTGGTCTCCTAATCCTTACTTCTGACCCTTTTAGAGTTGGTTTGATGTCGGGTGGCTCTTTTTTAGGAAAGTTTGCCGGCTTTTCCTTTAAAATGATGTACATCTTGTCCACCGAGGATATAAGGCTCTGTTCTTGATTGAGGGCACAAAATGCTGGAGCATCTATCTTCTCCCCATTTGGTAGGCCCTCACTGGCTTCTACATGTTGTGCTGAGGCATCTGACGGCTCAACATTTTTATACTCTTCTCTAGGTGCTGGGGTCTCTATCTCAGCGGTAGCATCTTCCTTTACCATCATCTCTTTATTCCCATCACCAAAACCTTCTTGAGCTTCAGCATCCCTAGCTACACTATGCTCCAGTATTACTTCTGCACTCGATTGCTCCATTAAAGCTTCATCCAAAATCTTCAACACTGAGCATTCTTCTGATTCAGTAGGCAACTTTATGGAATCATAGACTGAGAACTTCACTTCCTGATCTTTAACGTGCATTGTCAACTCCCCTTTATGAACGTCCACCAATGCTCTTCCCATTGCAAGGAATGGCCTCCCAAGAATGATAAGAACCTTCTTATCTGCATCATAATCCAAAATAATAAAGTTAGCAGAAAAAATGAATTTATCTACTTGTACCAGAACATCTTCAATGTTTCCCTCTAGATGCGTGATGGCTCGATCCGCTAGTTGTAAAGTAACTGTTGTGGGCCTTGCTTCTCCTATACCCAGCTTGTTGTAAATAGATAAGGGCATAAGGTTGATGCTGACTCCCAAATCACACAATGCAAGCCTTATTTTTTTTCCTCCAATGGATATTGGTATGGTGAAGCTCCTAGAGTCTTTCATCTTTATTGGAATTTTACTTGTGAGGATAGTGCTACAGGCCTTAGTCATTGCTACAATTTCATATTCTCCCAGTTTTCTCTTCTTTGTGAGTATCTCTTTCAAGAATCTGACATAATTTGGCATTTACTCTAAAGCTTCCACCAAAGGTATGTTCACATGCAACTGCTTCAACACATCAAGAAACTTTCTAAATTGCACATCCTGATCTTTCTTTTGCAGCCGCTTTGGGTATGGTGGTGCTGGTAGACACTCGACTGGAGCATTTTTATGCTCAGTCTGCTTCTGTTTTCCAGTCATGTGCAGATGTGATGCTTCTGTTTTGGCTGCCCTAGCTTCTATTGGGTTGACCTCTTTGATTGTGTTGCTTTGCAGTTCCACTATCTGCTCGCTACTGTTCATTAACTGTCTGAGGTTTGCCCTTTTTAACTGGCATGATTACAGTTGTTTCGGCTGACTCGCATTCTTCTGTTTATAGCCCACTTCTTTCATCTTGATTTAATTCTTTACGGATTCCTTGAGCATTTGGATGGGCAGTAGGCAATGTCTTGCCACTCCGCAATGTCAGAGCATTACATTGCTCCTTCCCATCCCTCTTAGGCACCTTAATATCACTGGGCAGCACTCCCTTGGGTTTACTTTTCAAATCTGTTGCTAATTGGCCCACTTGCATCTCCAGATTTCTCAATGATACTGCCTGACTTTGCACCGTGGTATCATTATTTTCCATATATTTCTTCATTAGATTATCCAAAGATACGAATGATCCTTCAGATGGTCCTTGCACTGCTACTTGACCTTGGTTTGAGAAGCCTGGGGGATAACTTTCTTTTTGCTGATATGTTGGAGCATTGGATGTACCAGCATTGTTTCCTTCCTGATTTCCACTCTAACTAAAGTTAGGATAGTTCCTCCAGCCCAAGTTGTACGTATGGAATACGGGTTGTTTTCATTGTTTTGAGCATTTCCCAAATAGTGCACCGACTCTGGATTGCCAGGGCAATTGTTGTAACGATACTCTCCTACACAAAAAGAACAAGAAATCCCTTGGATGTGGCTAACATTTGCCTTACCAGCAGATGCTCCCACTGTGCTTTGATGTGTCATGCTCCTCATAACCAAATCTGTCAAATTCTCAATCTTTAAATTTAAGGCGGTGAAAGACTCTGATTCATTGAATCCCTTGCTTCCTTTCCCGTGAATGGCTCTAGGGTCAGACCATGACTGATTGTTCGATGATATCCTCTCCAAGATGTTAAATGCTTCAGCATAAGGTTTTGCTAGCAATGCACCATTTGCTGAGGCATCAATGACCAAACGTGTGGCGTCGTCCAATCCATTATAGTATGTTTTGATCTGGATGCATCTTGGGATCCCTTGGTAAAGGTATTTTTGCATAAGTCGTTTAAAACGCTCCCATGACTCACTAACCGACTCCCCAACAAATTGCTGAAAATTGTTGATTTCGCTTCTATACTTAGCATTTTTGCTTGGTGGGAAGTACTTCATCAAAAACTTTCCTGCCAAGTCATCTCAACTTGTAATTAATTCTGAAGGCAGTGACTCCAACTAGGTCATCGCTTCGTCTCTAAGTGAATAAGGGAACAACTTAAGCCGCAGAACTTCTTTGTTGCATCCTTCATCTTTAAACGAATTGCATACTCCCATAAAAAACTTCAGATGCTGATTTCTTCAATCCTCACATTTGATGGCTGGCGCATATTTGAGTTGGGTGGATTCATGTTTGCTTCAGCTTGGACTCTCCGTTGTTCTCTTTGATTCTTATGAAATGTGCGTTATATCTCGTGATCTATAATATATTCCAAGCTCTCAAATCGTTCATACACCTACAACCACACAAAAATGTAAGAAAAAGAAAACTCGATTAAGCACCGTATCTACAAACACTATTGTTTAAAATAAAAACACTAAGTCACCGACAACATCACCAAAAACTTGTTGCGTCCACACAATCGTGCTGACAACACGTGCAAGTATACACGAAATTGTCGATTGTAGTACGAAACGAGGTCGAATCCACAGGGACTTTGGATAATATTTTAAACGATGTTTGTAGATACCAAATGTGTAAAAACAAAGAAATATGAGTGTTGTGTCGTAACTAAAAAAATATAATAAACAAAGTAGTAAACAAATCTGAAGAACAGACACACTTCGAAAACCTGATAACAGAAAGAAGCTACAGCACATAATAGCGAAAATGAGGGGTAATAGATATGGAAAACTGGGGGAGATTCAGAATACTTTCACAGGTTATGAACCTACCCTCTAGCTTATTAACATCTATTAATGCCCATCTCGACTCGATTCCCTTCCGAGACACCCCAAACATGAGTAAGTACAACTTCTATTACTAAATACCCAAGCAATAAACGCAAGCTCTAGGCAAAATTAGGGGACCCCATTCTTGAGTATCCCTAAAGCTATAGAAAAGCGCTAATCACAAATAAATCAAATCAGCACCCATAAGCCCTCCCAAGTCAATACAGAAGCTAGCAAACACGACAGAGTGGCCAAAAATGTCACGCAAGATTGAAGAAATACAAAACAGCTTTATTTAAAAAAAATAGATGCAGCAGCTAGAGGTTCAGTATCAAGTTAGTTCAACATCTAAATCTCCCCCAAGATGGGGTTTAGCTTAACATGGGCGAAGAAAACAAAATGGAAGAAAGGAGAATACGACCCATCTCAGGGAAGCAACAAAAGGAAGCAGAGAAGAAGAATCAGACAACTTGTCGAAGAAGGTGAGCCTCCTTTTTCTGTCGTCAGCTATCGCCTCGAAAATGGAGAGAATCTTCCCCCTTGTCGTTTCAGCTCTCAAGAGTGTGTCTCCATTGGGATCTGTGTATCGCAGCTAGGGCAACGTACCTTTTTTATATCGGTTCCGTTTTTAGGGCATCAAGCTAAAAATTGTACGGACACGGTAAATCTCTTGTCTAGGCTGTTACTACACAATGAATCCATGTTCCAGCTTTGCTTCGCTCCAGCTTTCGTCTGCTCTGACTTGAACGTGCTTCATCCACTCTTCTCTGGGCTCAGCACTCTTTTCATACTTTGCCTTCTTTTTCCAAACCTGTGCATTTACACCAGAAATAAGAGCATTTAGTGCAATATTTAGCTACATCATTCAAGACCTGGGGCTTTTAGCTTGGATTCCATTCTCTACTCTTTTCTATACTAATTGCGCATCAAAATCGACACACTTTGACAATTCCTTGTATAGAACTACCCAAATAAACACTAGAATAACTCTCTTTTAGAGAGTTATCACAACACACAACAAACAAATCCCCTCAAGTAAGAAATTACTTACACCCAATGTCTTAACGCGCTACTAAGATCACCAAAAGGTTCCTAATTCAAAAAGCAACCAAACTTGGGTTAGAATTCATTTTAATCAAACCAAAATTCAATTTAGGTGAGTCGTTACCTACTAACTCACATCGAATCACTTGGGTTAAGAGTGGGTCAATGCCGAATCGATGTCAAAGGGGGTGGGTATCACGAAAGAGGCTTCAAATGAGTGCGGGTCAATGCCAAAACGTGCCGGAATGCTACTATTCCATCAGATTGTAGGTTGTACGTTGAAAATGCATTTGCAACAACTTTGTTGCTACTGTTACTGTTCATGTGGGCCGTGGTAAAGGATTTTAGAGTTGCATCATCGAAAATAACCTTCATCTGCTGTGGAAGGTCATCCGAACGTTACAAAACATCGAATTTGAGCTTGGGCCGCGGAATCTGTGGGTTGTGGAAACTGTCACTACTGGTTCGGGTCGTGGGTAATCCATCGTGCAGTTGTTCGTTAATGAGGAGACGTCGTTCGTGGAGGAATCACACA